CCTCCCTCAGTCAGACTGAACAGAAACTGAACTGACTGCTGCAGCTGGAAGCTACTGCAGAGACTGATACACTTCACTGAGGACACACACACACACACACACACACACACACACACACACACACACACACACACACACACACACACACACACACGCTGTCTTGGTCATGACCTTTGACCTCTGCTTTATTCTGGATCACAGCTATTTCAACTACATCCTATTAACAAAGAATATAAAGACTAACATCAGAAACATTCATAATCAAAGATGGACCAAACGAAACCTGTACATTCCTCAAAGTTAATAAAGTATTAAAATAAATAAATAAAATAAAGATTAACTGGAGACATAACAAGACAAAAGTGACCTACGTGACATAAATATATCAACATAAAAAAACACATTTTCTTTCATATGCAACTAAAATACCACACAAAGACATTGAGACTGAAAGTTATTGGTTGACGTTGGAAATACCCAGACAATCTCTGTACAACATCCATCCACTAACTGTTGTGGAGCTTTCAATCATATCACATGATCTTCTTCAGCAGATGGAGTCTCCCAGTTGTCATTGAATTGTAGTTGTTAAAATTTCCATTCCTCTGAGCATTTTCAGGACTTCTTGTCCATGTTGACATCAAAGTTAAAATATTCTATGACAACTGGGTGAACTCCATCTGCTGAGGAAGACCATGGGATTTGATCAAAAGCTCCAGAACAGAGACTGAATGGAGCTTGAGCAGAAATTGATTTAACTGTTAAACATGTTAAATGTTGTGACCTTTTTATATTTTTTCAGAGACATAAAACCTACCATCATTTCTCTTTTTAATATAATTTTGGGGCTTTATGCCTTTTTCATAAATTAGACAGCTCAATATAGACAGAACAGGGGGAGAGAGAGACCACAGGTCAGACTCGAGTTGATGTTTTGTTTTGAACTATCTGAAGACTCAAAAATACATCCAGGAGAGAGAGAGAGAGAGAGAGAGAGAGAGAGAGAGAGAGAGCAGTTTGGTAGTCAGCCCATGCATGTTCAGCCTGTATATTTTAGATTTCTTTTCATTCCAGTTTTGCAGTTTTGACCAAGTCTTCAGCAGATGAGGTTAAATATCCTCAATCACATGTTTGAGAGAGATTTAGCTGTCTAGATTTAACTAGAAAGAGTTCCCAACATATGTTAGTTGTTTTTCTTAACATTAATATGAACATCCACATAAGTTGTTGTGCACATACACGTGTCCAGTTCAGCCCCACCCAAATTAAAATACGTTCCCCCACACGTCTGAGTCTGCTTGAGCTCAGGAAGTTTTCTAAAACTGACTCTGATGGAAAAAGTATTTTTTAATGTGTGTGAACAATGTTGTTTCACATCTTTCTCACAAACACACAAAAAAGTGTCCAGTGGGAAACCTGATGAAACAGGCTGTATACTCATTTTTCACCCGTTTTTTTATTTATTTCATTCAGCCAACTCACGTTTGGAATGTTTATTAAGCAGTATAGCATATTTAGATTCTGGTGTCTAGGCTCCGACCTCATCACTCCCCGCGGATATGTTCACATAGAGATATTGGGGAGTGATGCACAAATACCTTAACCCCCCAAAAAGGAGTCTGACGCCATCAGTGAATCAATCTCCTGAAGCATCTTGGCCCCAGTGGAATACACTATCTAGTGGACTGCTATGTGTGGGTTTTGCCGTGTGGCTATTCATGATGAGCACCTCAAGCCATGAGGGAATATACTACTTGGCAAAGTATTATGCAGGAACATTTCCCATAGCAAAGATATAGATAGTCTAAACCCAGCAACCACCTGATATGCAAATATATGATTAATCAATTCAATTTGTATAGCGCCAATTCATAACAGAAGTTATCTCAGGACACTCTCAAATAGAGAAGGTCTAGACCGAACTCCTTATAACATTACAACATTTACAGAGACCCAACAGTACCACCATGAGCAAGCACTTGGCGACGGGGGCAGACGGTTTATGGTGGGGATGAGTTAGCTTGGTACCAACAGAGAGATGGAGAAACTCCTAAACTGCTCATTTATGCTGCTAGCACTCGAGCATCAGGGATTCCAGGTGGTTTTACAGGCAGTGGATCAAACTCTGACTTCACTCTGACCATCAGTGGAGTCCAGACTGAAGATGCAGCAGTTTACTACTGTCAGAGTTATCATGAAATCAGCAGTCAGGATGTGTTCACACAGTGATACAACGTCGTACAAAAACCTCCCTCAGCTGGAGAGGAACTGATCTCAATCAACAGCTGCACAGACATTAAAACACTACATGATGGATTAACATAAATTGTTTAACTAACACCGCAATAACACTTTCAGCAAGAATATATTTTTCATATTTATGTTAAATATTTTTTGTTATTGAAAGTCAGCATGACAGCTGCATCATTTTAGCTCTTAAACATTATTGTCGCTGTAACATAAAAACATATACTCAGTGATTCGATAAAAAAAACTTACAAATGTTTAGGAATGACAACATTTATATTTATATTTTCCACATTTGCTTTGAAGAAAACAAAGTTACTTTTGTCAAACTCATAGCAGAAAATTATGAAATAATTTCTGCTCTACAGAGAATAAAATGAACTGTTTTTATAAATTGAATTTTATTGTTAACAAAGTTTATGAATCTCAAAACAATTTGAATCTCCTCCTGTTGATTAAATCATCAAAAAAATGATACAGCACAGTTCAGTACAGAGTAGGACACTGAGCAATATTTCTAACATCATCACCTGATATGTTAAAATCCAGCTATCTGACCCTGAGACAACTCAGTGTGTTTGGAATAAAAGGATCCACTGTTTTACACAGCAATATATACAAATATGAATATACAGTATTTAATGATAAACGGACAAATTTGATCTGATGAATATATTTTTATTCTTTAATGGAACATCAGTATTACAGCAAGCAGTGAAAGATGACAATGTGTTAATTCTGCTGACTTTTCATGTCGAGTCCTTTGGTGAAGTTGTACTGTCTCATAGGAATATTATTGAGCTGAAAACACATTATTGTTCAAATATGTAATGAGAAAAAGAAAAAGAAAGAGAGCAGTAGCAGAGTAAAACCAGTATCAGAGTCCCAGTGAGTCAGGTCAGAACTGGGAACACTGGTCTCTCCTCAGTGTCTCTGAGAGCGGAGTCTGGGAGCCCTGGGTGGCCTCACAGGTCACAGAGCCCACCTTCCTCCAGTGGTCTGCAGAGAGCCTCAGGGTGCTGCTCCAGCTGTAGTGGCCGTCCTTCAGCACCCCGGGGCTCCTGCTCTGCTCCCAGCTGCTGCTGCTGCTGCTGCTGCCGTCCACCTTCCAGGACAGACTCCAGTCTGAGGGGAAGCCCTTGTTGGCCAGACACATGAGCGTGGCCTTCCCCTGCTGCAGCTCCTTACTGGAGGGGGCAGCACCGTCAGGGTGGGACGGACATCACCTAGGAGACACCAATCAGCTTAGAGGACAGGGACCACACAGCTGTCAATCAAGCAGCAGACACTTGGACACCTTTACTGTGTGAGAGTTGATTTTCTCCTTTAAGGAGTTTCTGTCAGATGGTTTTTCTGCTCCACCAGTCACTCACTCACACATTGTTTCACTTCCCTTTAAGAAGCCTCTCATGCATATCAAAAAATGAACTGACTACAATCAAATGTTCTTCATGTGGATTTCAATCATCATTACCAAACTGTAACTTTAAAACAACATATAACACTATGAAGAGACTATGAATCTTAAAAATGCAACATTTGTACAACAAGGTTTGCAGTTTTATCTTTTCTACACTTCAAGTTGTTGAATTTTAGTTTGACAGGAATGTGTAAAGAACAAAGAGTTAGCCTCCATGATGAAGGAGGACAAGTACAAATATGAATACTTCAAGTGTTCAAATTAAAACAAGATATATCTGTCTGCTTCAAATATCTAAAAAATAATTTACTTTACAATATTGTATTTAGTATTTGTACAGAAACTTACTTCCAACATCCAGTCTGGTTCCTCCACCAAAAGTCAACCACAGTGATACAAACTCATTGAGCCGCTGTACAAAAACCTTTCACTTTAGAGAGACACGGCTCTCTGACTTTAACACACTGAACTAAACCTACAAACCCTCAAGATGAAACTTTTACCATTAAAGTTGGAAATGCTGATTCATATTCTGTCTTGATATTTTAAATTAACTTCAATGAGGTTTTGAATTTATATTCCTGATGCAGTTTGTCTCTGAGTGAAAAGTATTTGTGCAGAAGATTTACATTAATATGAAAAATTGAGAATTCTTCCTGAAATCTTCAAAAAAGGACAAGTATGTCCTGAAATTATAAAAGTTTTAATAATTTTACTTACTTCCAACATCCAGTCTGGTTCCTCCACCGAACGTGAACCACAGTGATACAAACTCATTGAGCCATCGTACAAAAACCTCTCACTGTAGAGAGACACGGCTCTCTGACTTTGACACAAACAAACTCAGAAAACACATTCCCAGATTACCTAGTTCCTGTAATAATTGGTTAAAGTTTCTAAAACATAAACAAGGAATATATATATGTATTTTGTGAAATATGCCTTCTTACTTTTTCTTTCATTAAAACATTAAAATAAGATATTTCTAAAGAAAAACTCTCTAGTCAATCCTGACAAATGTATGAAAACAAATTTAGATCATGATTAATATAAAATAAATACATATGAATTGAACTGAATCATTTTGTTTAAATGTGTCCCACAGTGATGTTGATCTGTGTGGTAGTGAATTAGGGGGAATTCACTAAATATTCTGGAAGAAAATGTGTCCATCAAACTGAAAGCAAAGCCTCATACAAATGAGCACTGACACATTCCTAATCAATACTCTGATAAAGTGATTGATTCATTGATAAACAGCATCATGAGAGGAATCCAAGTCCCTGTTGGAGTCAGTCAGAGCATTTCCATAGAGAGCCACTTTGCATCAGCAGCACCATGCTCCAGTGCTCTGGGAGAGTTTATAGTCCTGAGAGTTGAACACTGGATGACTGACAGCTGTCCTTCATGACAACAGAAGACACAGAAATCCTCCTCATCAAAAACATGACTTTGATCTCCGTCCTCATCTGGACTCTCCTCTGCTGCTGCTTCATAGGTAAAGTCCAGAGAATCATACTCCTCTCCTCTATGAACATCCGTCCCTCTGAAATGAAGCCCACAAAACCATGACGCTGCTTTATGTTTTTGTCTCTGTATCCTCAGAGTCCAGAGGCCAGGTCACAGTGACTCAGTCTGGAGCAGTGAGCTCTGTTCTGGGAGGCTCCGTCACCATCACATGTAGGACCAGTCAGAACATCTATAGTTCTTACTATTTATCCTGGTACCAACAGAGAGATGGAGAAACTCCTAAACTGCTCATTTACTATACTAGCACTCGAGCATCAGGGACTCCAGGTCGTTTTACAGGCAGTGGATCAAACTCTGACTTCACTCTGACCATCAGTGGAGTCCAGACTGAAGATGCAGCAGTTTACTACTGTATGGGTGGTCATTACATCAACAGTCAGTGGTTGTTCACACAGTGAAAAAGCGTCGTACAAAAACCTCCCTCAGTCAGACTGAACAGAAACTGAACTGACTGCTGCAGCTGGAAGCTACTGCAGAGACTGATACACTTCACTGAGGACACACACACACACACACACACACACACACACACACACACACACACATGCTACTGAACTGATAAAGGGAATAGACACTTTTCATGGCAGACATTTTGACTTGCCAAAGCAGGAAAAGCACAGGTGTATTTAATTACATTAATGATTAATGAATCATTACATTTAGGTGAGCCAGTCCCAGAGCTCTGGTTCTGTCCATGCTCACTCATTGAAAGGCCTTACTGGGACACTGAATGAAATTGGGCCAGTATTAATGTTATTATTACACCTGTGATTTACCTGCTTTGATCAGTCAAAATGTCTGCTGTGAAAAGGGTCTATTTGGAAAGGTGAGTGAGTGGGCAGGGAGGATCTGATGGTGCAGGATCTGTCCTGCAGAGTCCTGCAGAGTTACTGCAGGACAGGAGAGAGTGGCTGGATCTGGAATGACAGGAGAGTAAGTAGAATCAGAATATGAATCAGAATCGGGTTTATTGCCAAGTACGTTTTTACACAAACAAGGAATATATAATATGAATAAAGATAAGGATGAAGATAGAAAGATCTAGAAGTAACAGAGCAATGCAACATAATGAATGTTATAATCTAACTGAAAGAATAAACAACAATGTTGTTTATTTGTTGAAACTCCTCTCTTACAAATTGGATGTGGGAAAGGCCACCCGTCCCCTGAAACAGATTTAACAAACAGAAAACTTCAATGAGGGAGAAAATATTGTATTATCCTTTGGAAGACATGTTTAGGAATATTCTGATCCTATTCATTTCACACCAATAATTGTATGTATGGTATCAAATAAGAACATGCAAAATGCACCTTGGTAATACAGACTATATACAGAGCTCAATATAATTTAACAGAATAATATCCACACAGTGCAAAAGGGTCATACAAAAACCTCCCTCAGCTGGAGAGGAACTGATCTCAATCAACAGCTGCACAGACAATAAAGCACTACATGATGGATTAACATACATTGTTTAACTTTCAACAAGAAAATATTTTTCATATTTTTTGTGCCATTCCTGATGAAAAAAAAGAAGATTGCTGACAATCAGATGACAGCTGTATGGTCTGAGCAACATAAAAACATATACTCAGTGAATCTATAAAATAATTACAAATGTTTAGGAATGACAATATTTATATTTATATTTTTTACATTTGCTTTGAAAAAAAAAGTAATTTTTGTTGAAATAATTTGAGATCTCAACAGAATAAAATGAATTGGTTTCATAAATGATGTATCATTATCAACACTGTTTATGAATCTAAAACATTGTGAGTCTCTTCTTGTTGATTAAATCATCAAAAAATTATGTGACACAGCACAGTTCAGTACAGAGTAGGACACTGAGAAATATTTCTAACATCATCACCTGATATGTTAAAATCCAGCTATCTGACCCTGAGACAACTCAGTGTGTTTGGAATAAAAGGATCCACTGTTTTACACAGCAATATATACAAATATGAATATACAGTATTTAATGATAAACTGACAAATTTGATCTGATGAATATATTTTTATTCTTTAATGGAACATCAGTATTACAGCAAGCAGTGAAAGATGACAATGTGTTAATTCTGCTGACTTTTCATGTCGAGTCCTTTGGTGAAGTTGTACTGTCTCATAGGAATATTATTGAGCTGAAAACACATTATTGTTCAAATATGTCATGAGAAAAAGAAAAAGGCAGAGAGCAGTAGCAGAGTAAAACCAGTATCAGAGTCCCAGTGAGTCAGGTCAGAACTGGGAACACTGGTCTCTCCTCAGTGTCTCTGAGAGCGGAGTCTGGGAGCCCTGGGTGGCCTCACAGGTCAAAGAGCCCACCTTCCTCCAGTGGTCTGCAGAGAGCCTCAGGGTGCTGCTCCAGCTGTAGTGGCCGTCCTTCAGCACCCCCGGGGCTCCTGCTCTCCTCCCAGCTGCTGCTGCTGCTGCTTCTGCTGCCGTCCACCTTCCAGGACAGACTCCAGTCTGAGGGGAAGCCCTTGTTGGCCAGACACATGAGCGTGGCCTTCCCCTGCTGCAGCTCCTCACTGGAGGGGGCAGCAACGTCAGGGTGGGGACGACTCGACCCACTGCAGAGAGAGAGATTAATAAAGTTTATATGAGGTAAACTGAACTCCATCCTGTTGGTTGCAGCAGAGGAGGCTTCTAGTTCTGATGGTCTTCTTCAGACTGAATGAAACTGGTCATAAAGGTTTCAGTTCCCTCTCTGAGCTCAGTAACCATGGCAACAGACAGGCGCCACTGCTGAACCATGACAACAGACAGGTTTCAGTACTAAAGTTAAAAAGTTAAAACTGGCGCACTTTTAGTCCAGTGTATAATTTTTAAATAATAAAGTAAAAAGTCAAAGATTGTGAGACAGTTAATGTTTTAAATATTGATATTTTAAAACCTGATAAATGATGATTTTTGTTTGTTCTCTTCATGTAAGCAGGAATCATCATTGAACAGTCAGAAACATTCAATTTAACTTAGTTAACTACTGAACTACTTCAAACTCATCACATTCTCATAATAAAATATATGGAATGGCTTTCATATGGTTACTCTGGGAGTATTACCCATACACATTAAACACTGAACAAAAAAAGTTCTTGATCCAAAATAATAAAACTTAAACTTAAAGACTTTCTCTCCTTACAGAGTATTGCTGAGTAGTTTTCTACAATTAACTGATAAGAATGTAGATAATTAAAGCTTTAATGCAAAACATTATCAATTGGAGTGGATTGTAGTCTGCTTAATGACACTCTGAAGCCTTTATGAATTGTTAGAAACACATTAGATTTCAAATATTAGGCAAAATATTCCATGAAGGTCGACAGCTATGAGATTAAAACAGAATACATACAAATTATTTGTTGTTAAAGGAGTCAAATGTACTTACAGTTAACTTCCAGTCTGGTTCCTCCACCGAACGTGTACCACAGTGATACAAACTCATTGAGCTGCCGTACAAAAACCTCTCACTGTAGAAAGACACGGCTCTCTGACTTTGACACAAACAAACTCAGCAAACACATTCCCAGATTACCCAGTTTAGTATTTAAAATAAATTAATAAATTAATAATAAGTATGAATGTGTATTTAACTATGTTTTTGTGAAATGTCAATCTACAACCAATATTATTTCTCTTTCAGTAAAACATGAAAATAAGATATTGCTATAGAAACACACTCTAATAAATGCTGATAAATAGTTATCATAAACACATGTTTATTGTAGATTATGATGAATATAAAATAAAAATAAAATATTTGTTTAAATGTGTCCCACAGTGATGTTGATCTGTGTGGTAGCGAATTAGGGGGAATTCACAAAATATTCTGGAAGAAAATGTGTCCATCAAACTGAAAGCAAAGCCTCATACAAATGAGCACTGACACATTCCTAATCAATACTCTGATAAAGTGATTGATCCATTGATAAACAGCATCATGAGAGGAATCCAAGTCCCTGTTGGAGTCAGTCAGAGCATTTCCATAGAGAGCCACTTTGCATCAGCAGCACCATGCTCCAGTGCTCTGGGAGAGTTTATAGTCCTGAGAGTTGAACACTGGATGACTGACAGCTGTCCTTCATGACAACAGAAGACACAGAAATCCTCCTCATCAAAAACATGACTTTGATCTCCGTCCTCATCTGGACTCTCCTCTGCTGCTGCTTCACAGGTAAAGTCCAGAGAATCAAACTCCTCTCCTCTATGAACATCCGTCCCTCTGAAATGAAGCCCACAAAACCATGACGCTGCTTTATGTTTTTGTCTCTGTATCCTCAGAGTCCAGAGGCCAGGTCACAGTGACTCAGTCTGGAGCAGTGAGCTCTGCTCTGGGACGCTCCGTCACCATCACATGTAGGACCAGTCAGGATGTTTATGGTGGGAGCTATTTACACTGGTACCAACAGAGAGATGGAGAAACTCCTAAACTCCTCATTCATACAACTAGCAGTCGAGCATCAGGGATTCCAGGTCGTTTTACAGGCAGTGGATCAAACTCTGACTTCACTCTGACCATCAGTGGAGTCCAGACTGAAGATGCAGCAGTTTACTACTGTCAGAGTTTTCATGTTATCAACAGTCAGTATGTGTTCACACAGTGAAAAAGCGTCGTACAAAACCTCCCTCAGTCAGACTGAACAGAAACTGAACTGACTGCTGCAGCTGGAAGCTACTGCAGAGACTGATACACTTCACTGAGGACACACACACACACACACACACACACACACACACACACACACACACACACACACACACAACACAAAATCATTGAACTGAAACAGTTTGATTTATGAAGAGATAATGCACAATTAAACCTATTCAAATCAATAGATTTCATCCTCACAGCTTCTCACCATCTATCCCACTCACCTGGCCATCCACAAGATATAAAAGAAAATGAGATTCATCAGACCAGGCCACCTTCTTCCATTGCTGTGTGGTCCAGTTCTGGCGCTCACGTGCCCATTGTAGGCACTACTTGATGCTTGGCTATTGTTCTGTGAGTTCTTTGGTTGTTTGAACTGTGTACCTTTCTAATGCAGGATGAAGCCGTTAATCAGAGAGTTAAACCTCTGTGAATATAACTTTTGTGAAAGACCTAATTAATAATGAGTTTAGATCTTAAATAATAATCTAAACTTCAAAAATAACAATTATACAGAAACAATCATGAAGTTTTCTTCACAGAAATAAACAAAATGCTGACATACACACTTTAAAATCAAGGCCTCGCATGAAGCTTTGGCGACACCTAGTGGGGTCTCAACCCCCAGGTTGGAAACCACTGCAGGAGGCCTATCCTAAGACCAACCACCATCACTCCTCTGGTAATGGCCTCAAGGTCCCAGTAATTTTAATATCTCTGAATGAAAATGAATGTCTACTTTATTATCAGTTCAGCCTTTAATTACTAAATAGTGCACAATATAAAAACAATAAATAATAAAAGAAATGCAAATGAACATGAACAGAAATAAAAAGAATTATTATGTAACTTTTAAAACAAATAACAATAAGCAGTTTAAAAACTGTGCATCTGAGTAAAGAGAATGATGTGCTCCCTACCCCTGCTGGTCAGAGGTCACATAGCAGTTGCTTATAATGCATTATATATTTCTATTTTACTTTGTGCAGAATGCAGAAACATTCATTCATATTTTATTGTTGGATTCATCTTTATTTTATTGATCTACTTTACTTTACTTGTATGTCCTCATTCTGGAGCTATACGCTGAAGAATTTCACT